GCTGTTAAATAAAGCTTTAATTTGCTGGCCTGTCTCCCTGCGTTCAGCAGCCTGGTTTGGCTGGCTGTCAGCGGCCTGGAGCTGAGGGATGCTCTGCCTACTGCTGAGCTGTGCTAGCAGCCCTTGCTTCCCCAGGAGCTCCCTTCCCATGCTGGAGGTGCAGCTGGACATGTGGTCTGCAATGTTCATACTCTTGTAATGCATTTTGATAAGGTTTTTCTGGTTGACAGGTTCTGTGATCAGCTTGGGAAACTGCTTTATGGTTTTTCTCGAGGATTTTTCAGCAGTGGTTTAGGCCAAGGAGCCTTTAGGTGTATATATGTATTTTTTTAAGCAACACCATTAGCTTTTTATCTCTTTTCATCCTTCAAAATAAGGCTGGTTCCTAGGGTTTGAAAATACCCTGTTGCCCTGTTGCTATTGTGGTTTCTTGGCTCTGAAAACCAACCTTCTAGGAGGCCTTTCTTCCCAAAACTGCATCAGGATCACAGGGAATGGAGGTGCGTGATCTTACCCTGACACTTTGGTCCAAGTCTCCCCAGATCTGAGAAACTGTGCTGGGGCTGCTATTAAAAATGTGTGTTCCAGCAAGTCTCGTAAGCCTGTGGAGAGTCACTGAGCTCCAGGGCTCTACCTCTTGTCTTTTGTTGGGTTTTGTAGCCTTTACTTCCCCCGAGACAGAGATGTCTTCCCAGATGCCTGAAATGGAGATAGCTCTAAAGAAGAATTTAGAGCCAGTAAACATTCTTGCATTATGTAATAAGAAATGGTAAAGGTTAATGTTTCATTTTTGTTGTATATAAATGACTCAGGATGTTTGTAGCTCACCAGTGGGATTTGATAACTTTATTATCCATATAATAAGATTTACAAATTAACTGTCTAATTAGCAACCTGGGAAAACTGCTGCTTGTACTGGAGTTTCTAAACTGACAAAGATACAGGCTTAAAATGCTGAAGCGTGATGAAACCAGGAGTGGCACGGCAGCGCTCGTCCTAGCAGAGCTGCCGTAGCTGCCTCGTTGCCTGCCCTGGTACCATGCTTGTGGGGAGCCAGCGCCCGGCTCGTGCTTGGCAGGGTGGAAAGTGAGCAGTCGCTTCCCAGCGTAACACACGGGATTAGTCACAGGAGGAAAGATCTATCAAATCTTCTCACATCTCTTGGGTAGGATGCACGTTTAGGAGTTAAGGCAGGATTACTGGCCTAAGCTCCTATACCTGATTAATTCTATTGGCCCTTTTTTTGCATGGATTGACTATTTACCTAAGCATGCATGAAATGTTTGAATGGATCTTTCCAAGGCTTGCAGAACTTCCTTTGAGGCATTGGATGCAGAGCCCACACCGCTGCAGTCAGCGGATAGCCTCTTGTTTGCTTTGGATGCATAGGGAAGTGTTAACGCTTCACCATCTTCCAACAGATTGTCCTTACAATCTGTATTAGTATTGATTGCTGGAGAACCTGCTATTCTTGCTAAATATGCAGTTGCCACAAAGATGACTTGCAGTGACTCGGATATCATCTGCTTAATTGAACTGTAATATGAATGTTTTGATCGCACGACAATTATTTTGCCAATTGAAGAGAAAATACTGCATTTCTAGTGTGTTCTTTAGGTCCCTGCTCAAAGGGCAGGAGGTGTTATCTGTGTGTGTATATTTAATGTCATCTTTAATAATTAAACTCTTCAGTGAAACCTTAAAAGAATATGGGGGAGAGGCTGCAATAACAATCTGGGATGGTTTTGAGCTTCTCAGACATTGGCTTTCTAATCTCTCTTGCCACTAGAAATGGGTATTTCACCTCTTCTGCTTATGCAAGTGGAAATGTAAAACGAATGTGTTCTGCTTTCCTAGTGTCTTTGCAGAGGCAAGAGCGAGCAGCTCGCCTAGGGTTGGTGTGCACACACGTGCGCTTCGCTTGCTCCAGTCCTCCTCTCGCACGGCTGTGAGGATCAATCACTTGGCTCTGTGCTCTTTC